TCAATTTCTATTTTGCCCTCTGGTTCTAAAATATCAGGGCAGTTTTCCTTGATAATTTCTTGAAAGATGATGTCTAGGCTCTTTTTTTGATCATGGCTTTCAGATAGTCCAATAATTTTTAAATTCTCTCTCCTGGATCTATTTTCCAGGTCAGTTGTTTTTCCAATGAGATATTTCACATTGTTTTCTAATTTTTCATTCTTTTGGATTTGTTCTACTGTGTCTTGATTTCTCATAAAGTCACTATCTTCCAATTGCTCTATTCTAATTTTTAAGGAAGTATTTTCTTCAGTAATCTTTTGGACTTCCTTTTCCATTTGAATTCTTTTAGGGCATTCTTCTCCTCATTGGCTTTTTGGACTCTTTTGCCATTTGGGTTAGGCTATTTTTTAAGGTGTTATTTTCTTCAGTATTTTTTTGGGTCTCCTTTAGCAAGCTGTTGACTTGTTTTTCATGATTTTCTTGCATCACTTTCATTTCTCTTCCCAGTTTTTCCTCTACTTCTCTTACTTGCTTCTCAAAATCCCTTTTGAGCTCTTCCAAGGCCTGGGACTGATTCATATTTTTCTTGGAGGCTTTGGATGTAGGTGCTTTGACTTTGTTGTCTTCTTCTGGTTGTATGTTTTGATCTTCTTTGTCACCAAAGTAAGATAATATAGTCTGACTCTTTTTGCAAGGTTTGCTCATGATCCCAGCCAACTACTTGAGTTTTAAACTCTTTGTTAAGGTGTAAAAGTCTGCTTCCAATGTGGAGAATGTACTGTCCCAAGCTTTGGGGGTTTGTATAGCTGTTTTCAGAGATACTTGCAGGGACCTGTAAATTTTCAGTTCTTGCAAGGTGGTATGATAAGGGTCGAGGTGTTTACTCTTTTCCTGGCCTGAGCTCTGGTCTTTGAGTGATTGGCCACAAGCAGTCTTTTCTCTGTTGGAACTGTGAGGAAGATTTCCTCTCCACAGCCACTACAAGCTCCACCACGCCATCACTCCTCCTCACCCCAGGACCGCCACCCAGAACTGTGACCCAGATCCAAGCACGGGCAAAGCAAGAGATTCCTGCCTCAGCACCAGCAGAGAGATCCCTGCAGTCCCCCTCTGATCAGCCACTGCATTCCCCCTCAGTCTGTGGGCAGGAAGTTCAGAACACAGCCACCACCCCGCACCCACGCTCTGTGCTCTGGAACTGGCTCTGACCTAGCTCTTTCTCTCACCACAAAAACAGACTTTTCCCACTGACCTTCTAAATTGTCTTTAGCATTCGTGGATTGAGGAGTCTGGAAGCCGCCACAGCTCCCTGTGATTCAGTCCTCTGAGGCCTGCTCTAGGTTCCCTGCAGCCTGCACGCCCAAGCCGAACTGCATTCCTTTCCCCACCCGGCGAGATATGCCTTTCAGATCAACCATCCAGGCTGTCTTGGGCTGGAAATTTGTTTTACTCTGTCTTTTTGTGGGTTCTGCTGCTTTAGAATATGTTTAGAGCCATTTTTTTGGTGGGTATTTGGAGGTGTTTGGGGGAGAGCTCAAGCAAGTCACTGCTTTCACGCTACCATCTTGGCTCCGCCCCCCATTTCTCAGTTTTAAAAAATATGTAAAGAAAAACAGACTTAAACTTTATTTGAATCTTAGAATGAATGGGCTGTCAATTCACAGTAACAAAATTTTTGTTTAGAAAACCTTTAATTTGTCTTATCTTTATTATTTGTAAGATGTAGATGATGATATTCTAGTTTTTTGCTTAATAAATATTATCTGTAGTTCTGACCTATGAAAATATATTATTGTCTGGGTTGGCAAATTCCCAGTCATCTATGCTAGCAACCTAAATGTTAATTTATAATCTACACTCTTTTTCACTTCCCTCCCCACATAGGATCATTTGCAAATCCTGGTGCAGCATTTCTTGCTTGTATCCTACCTTCTCTACTTTGATACTGCCACCACTGTGTGCTTGCCAAAAAACCTGAAGGAAAAATCCTGGACTTTCCCACAAGGCCACATCTCTAGGGTTCCCCTGAGGCTATAATACCATCAACTGGCCTTTCATTGTGGACCTCCCTGTGGCTCCAGGCCACTTCTCCATTCTCCCTTGGCCATGTGGTCCAGATCCCTGGAATTCTATTACCTCATAAACTATTTGGCCACTCCTAGATCCCTCCCATAGTCTTAATGTATAAAAAGTCCATCTTGTCTCTATTAAACTGCTCGGGTTCTTATAATCCAGCCACTACTTAAATTCTTATAATCTAGCCACTGCTCAGATTCTTATAATCTAGCCAATAGCTTACTAATGTTCAGACTCCTTAAGAGTCTGCCTAATATGACGGCTAATGTTCAGACTCCTTAAGAGTTTGGCTAATATGACAGATGTTCTAATAAACCTTGCCTTTGGCTGAAAGAAGACTTGGGTCTTTTGGGCAGGATCCGTGTGTTGTGATATTGGGGACCCAGTACCCCTAAACCTCATCGTTTGGAGAACTCACACAGGGCAGGCATTTACATGTTGGTCAGAAGAAACGATACAAGGACACTGAAGGTCTCCCTTAAGACCTTTGGAATTGATTATGTGACGTAGGAGACAGTGGCACAGGACCGCTCAGCATAGTGTGCCCATGCTGTGTGCTGTGCTCTATGAGCAAAGCAGAATTGAAATAGCTCAAGAGACACACAAGATATGCAAACTTTGAGAATCTACCTCAAAGTTCACATGGGCTCTTTGTGTCTGACCTGTGGCAGAGCATTCCGACCTCATATTGGTCTGATCAGCCACAGTCAGACACACTGAAACTTGACTCTGGCATAGTGATGTCATGTTGGTCCTCTTAGAAAATGAAGGACACCAGCCAACCAACCATCCAGCCCTGGTACTTTACCTAATACTTAGGACAGTTACGATAGCCTGTTGCTTGATTTCCCTGCCACACCGTTCTCCCTGCTCTAGTACATTCTCCACTTATAGCTTTCAAAGTGATTTGCCTTATGGAAAAATAAGGACACTCTTGGTGCAGTGGAGAAGAATTTGGAGCTGTGCCCAAAGAACTATCAAACTGTGCGTATCCTTTGACCCGGCAATATCACTAGTAGGTCTGTATCCGAAAGAGATTAAAGAAAATGAAAAGGACCTACATGTACAAAATATTTATAGCAGTTCTTTTTTGTGGTGGCAAAGAATTAGGAAATTCTATTGGGGAATGGCTGAACAAGTTGTGATGCATGATTGGGATGGAGTACTACCATTGTGCTATAAGAAATGACAGGGGGGATGGGTTCAGAAAAACCAGGCAAGACCCATATGAATTGATGCAGAATGAAGTGAACAGAACCAGGAGAACACTATACACAATAACATCAATATTGTACAATCGGCCATGAAAAACTTATCTAGGGACAGCTAGGTGGCACAGTGGATAGAGCCCCGGCCCTGAATTCAGGAGTACCTGAGTTCAAATCCAGCCTCAGACACATAACACTTACTAGCTGTGTGACCCTGGGCGAGTCACTTAACCCCATTGCCTAGCAAACAAACAAACAAACAAACAAAAAACAATATAATCAGTACAATGATCTAAGACAATTCCAAAGCACTCATGATGAAAAATGCTACCCAGCTCTGGAGACAGAACTGACGAGCTCTTAGTGCATTTTGCAGTATAATTTTTTTCCTCCAGACCCTGCAATCTGTCCACTGTGACAAGAAATGTGATGGCACTACCAGTCTGCCCCGGTCATACAATGTCTAGAGGACTGTGTTTATCTGGGGATTGTCTAGGTGTGCTGGGAACCCTGAAATTGAGGGCAAAAGGTGCGTGTCTGCTTTGAAAGAATTCAGCCTCTGGAGTCTTCTTTCAGTGAGGGACAAGATTTATTGTATTGCAGATAGAAGAGAGTGAGATTTTAAGGGGGGATTTGAAGAACCTGCGTGTTTATGACACCAATACAAGTGGGCCAGACTTTAAGAATCTGAGCAATTTAATGGGGGCAAGATGGATGCTATACTGAAAGACTTTGGGAAGATCTGGATGTGATGGAGGAGTGCCCAATAGCCTGGGGTGACCTGGAGATAGTAGAGAAGGGGTCTAGATGGGATTGAGGGTGAGAAATAGCCTTAGGGGCCCAGGGGCAGACAAGGGGGCCACAATGAAAGGGCATTTAAAAGGATTATTGACTGGGAAGGGCCAGGTGTCTTAGGCAAATACCAGAAATCTGGGTTCAGGGGCTTTGGGGTTCAACCCCGTCCCAAAGACATGGTCTTTTACTTTCAGGGTTCCAGCTTGAATCCCATCCCCCATCAGGGATCACATTTTAAAATGGATCTCTGTAAGCTAGAGGCCATCTGTAAGAATGAGCAAGATTATGGAACTAGAAATCATGCCATATGATTAAACAGTGGAACCAACTATAATCCCACCTTTTACAAAATTCCTTTCTTAGACACCCCCCCCCCCCCATGGTAGTGCCTTCCCACTTTAATCTCCGTTGTTTATTGTTTACATTGTGGTTGAACATAGATGTTTGCATATTGTTATCCCCATTAGATTGTGAATTTCTTGAGAGGAAGAGAGTGCTTTGTATCCCCAAACTTAGCATAGTACCTGATACTCAGTGTGTACTTAATAATGACTTTTTGACTGACTGACTGACTGACTTTTGAAGCAGGGGAATAGATAACAACTTATGATTTCTGCAATTGTATTTATGCAAAAACTATTTTTTAGTAAAAGATTTTGTTTTCATTTGTGCCAATTAATAAATTCTCTTTTATGCCAGTTTGCTTAAAGCCCATAGTGTTAGTATCTAGGGATAATTACCTTAAAGCAATATGTAACTTTTAAGCCATCTTGTTTAAATTTAAGTAAATGAGATGGTGGGTGAATTTTCCAAGTTGTCTTCTGCCCTGAAAAAGTGTTAATTTGCATGGGGAGGGAAGAGCATATTCATATTTATACAAGCATTTAGAATGTGAATTTTTAAAGATGTCATTGCTGTTTTTTCCCCCCCTGTTCCCAGGTCCAAAGCAACCTTTATATAAATCAAGCAGTGTGCCGTCTATCCCAGAAACAAATTACAAATATCCTGATTTGCCTATAATTCGGTGTAAGGAAGAGGTAAACAATTATTTTAAGATAAATGTAACTTGTTTTAAATTAAGATGTGACCTTAGATATGTAATTAGATGTATCTCTGGGAAGGGCCTTTGAGGTCATGGAGTTCAGCCCCTTCATTTTGTAGGTAACTGTAGCCCAGACAGGTTATGACTTGCCTAGAGTCATACAGCCATTAAATAAGTATCTCAGACAGAAGTATAACCCACCTCTGCTTAACTCCCAAGTCTAGCACTTCATCTAATACTATGGTACTTCTCAATTTTGTTTTTTCTAAACAGTCATGTAGTATAAAGGTGTTATGTCTTTATTCAATAAATATTTACTTGAGCATCTACTACCATCTTTAGAGGCCTTGTATTTCACATTGTAGGGGAAAGGGATGCAAAGACATAAAAGATATAATCCCTGGACATAAGCAATATATAGATTTATTTTATTCGTTTAATTTTTATACATTTTCACTTTTAACTTTCATTTGCGTTCGGTTTTTCACCTCTGACACATCCTTTTTCTCAAAACCCTTTCAATGGCTAAAGATCTATAAATGTAAAAGTAGAAAATTTTTGATAAAGTATCTCTCTGGTGTAATCCTATAAAGCAGTTATCTAGTAAGTACATTTTTCATGTACTTACAGAGCAAAGATATTTGCATTTTAGGTAATTTTATTAACAGTGGCAGGCAAGCTATGTTAGTAGATTATTTTTGATTCTAAAGAATCTTATTTCATTAAACATTTTAGATTTTATTTTAAGTATATTGATTTACTAGTGGAGAGAGATTGTAGTGTAGATAATACAAAACTGAATAATTAAAACTCAGTTTTTGTTTGGTTTAAGCTTGCATTGATTTTTAATATTCAGATGACTATAAATATAATTAATTTCCTTTGTTGTCCCGTGTGTTTTATTTTATACATTTACAAACGTTATTTTGAGAAAGTGTTAGACTTTACAGGATACCCAGAGGAGTCCATGACAAAAAAGTTTAAAGCATCCTGACTAGATCATCTTTAAGGTTTTTTCTATCCACTTGATATCTTATGTTTTGTAGGCATACATTGTTATTACATAGGTAATAGTTTTCATTTCTGTTCAATTTTTGTCCATTGAAGAGAATGCTGATTTTTTTTTCTAATTCCAGGTTATTTCTTTGATAGAAAGCAATTCAGTTGTAATTATTCATGGTGCAACTGGTAGTGGAAAAAGCACTCAGCTTCCTCAGTATATCTTGGATTATTATATTCACCGTTCTACATACTGCAACATTGTGGTTACTCAGCCACGGAAAATAGGTGCCAGTAGCATCGCAAGATGGATTAGTAAAGAGAGATCTTGGACTTTGGGTGGTTTGGTAGGATATCAGGTAAGTTTATTGTAGAAAGCAAGTAAATTTTTATTTCTGCTGTAATTCCTTGGCCTATATCATATCATAGTATAGCACACATTTTGCAAACCTTTGAATTCTACTAGATGTTTGTGGATCAGAAATATAAGATTTAAAAAAAACAACAAATTTTAATCAACATTTTTATTTTTCTCCAAATAAATGGGTGATTGAATGTTCAGTGTTGCCAGACTTTAACCAAAATAAAGCAAAATGAAAACAACTAACAACAAAATTTCCCACAGCGAAACAAGACATATTGCATGTAGGAAGGATGGCGCCTTTTTCCTTTAGGCTCCAAACAGAGGAATTCAGAACTGTAATTTTATTCTGATCTACCACTGAATTTTATGCTGGATAATAAAAAGGCACAGGATAAAAAAGACACAAGATAATTACTTCACTCAAAAATGCAAATGATAATAGTTTTTAGTAATTGACACCAAGCATTTAAATATATAAACCTCCTGTTTCCTTCTTTCTCCTCCCATTTTAGGTTGGACTAGAGAAAATAGCGACCAAAGATACAAAGTTAATTTACATGACCACTGGTGTGCTGCTTCAGAAAATAGTTGGTGCCAAAAGTTTGGCAGAATTCACTCATGTCTTCATTGATGAAGTAAGTTTGAAAAAAAAATTGCTTTTATTGTAAAGGATCAAATTGAATGTGTGAAAGCATTTTGTAAAATTACAAATTGCTATACAGTATAAGTACTGGTTGAATGTAAATCAAGTAACTGAATTTCACATGAAGTATTTTGAACACATACCACTTTCCAAAGTTTAAAAATTTCTTTTCCTCTTGTTTCTAAGATCCATTCATACATGGGTAAAGGGGTTTGAGAGTTCTGATCAGATCTGTTGTTCAGGGTACCAGCTTTAATCTTTAGATATAATATGGGAAAGACTACTAATTGCACATTGTTGTTGTTATTTTAGCCAATTCTATTCAGCCATTGATTTGATGAGCTAGATTTCATTTTTTGAGAATGACCAAGATGAAAACATTGGCACTGTGTGGTGTAGTACATCACCTTTCTCCTCTCTTTTCTTTGGTCCTGAAACCCTTGGTAAACTTGAGTTCCTGCTGGTACCTGCCGCCAAGTGAATCATTGGCTACCACATGGATATATTGATCCATGATAGAATTGGAAAATGTGAATTACTGTGATTTTTTTTCTTTGAAGTAAAGAAATTATTGAGGTCTTAATGACCATTTTTTCTGGAGGAATGTTTACATTTATATTATATTCATATATATCTTACATGTATACATTCTATGCATGCACACATATGCACACATGTATACACACATATATACACATATGTGTGTATACATATATGTACACGTGTAATACATTTATATATCTGAGTCTTAGAAGAGTTGTCCTTAATTTTGTGACATTTGGGAACAGTTTTAAAACTTAAGCTTATTTAAGTATGCATACCCCATTCTAAGAAAATTAGATATATGAAAAACTAAATTTATAAAAGAGATAAATTAAGGAGTATTTATTTACATCATAGGCAATTTCTTTGTAAAATCGAGAGAGTTGGATTTAATAATCTTTCAAGTCCTTTATATTTTTTAACCTATGATCCTTTCCCTTCTACCTTTCCTACTCATTTACATTGAATCTGAACTTTGGCTATGTCAGTGACCACTTTGATAGTCCATTTTCCAGTCCATTTTTCTGCACCTTGATTTCTCCTGCCTTCATACCTAGCCTTGACTTCATATAGCATATCCCAGCTTAATAAATGCTTGTGGAATTTCATGCTCTGCCAGTTAGATGATTTAGCCAACCATTTTATTCTCATCAGTGCTGAAATGTTTGAGAGACTTCATGGGCTCTGTCAGATTGTTCCACTCTTAGTGTTGATGGATGAAGCCACAAAATTGAGCTGATTTTATCCACAGTAACTTTCCGGTACATCATCTCATCTGGGTACTTGATGTTGCCAGTGATTTTTTATTCTTATGAACTGTCTGTCTTATTTCCCAATGTTTGAGGGTTTTTTTTTCCTTTAAGGCTCAAGCTGTACCTCCCCTGCTCAAACTGTTAGAATACGTGGCCTAATTTTTCCATTTCTTTAAAAATATACCCTAATTTATAAACTGAACTGTCTAAAAATGATCAAATATGCTAAGTGAAAAATAAGAGCATACATAAATCCTAAATGTATTGAACAGTAAAAGAATTAACACTAGATATATTGCAAGTAACAAAGTACGTTTGCTCTCTATCCTCTTAGGAGTCCGGTTGAAATTCCATCTTTGGCTTTGTTTTCTTTTTCATATGAAGTTGTTGTCAGTGTATTGCTGTTCTCAACCCGTTAACCTTTGCACAGGTCTGTCTATGTTAATATGTTATCCATCTTCATATTTATAATTTTTAAAGTTCCTAAATATGCAAAGGACCTTTCTCCTAATTCCACTTTGATTTGATTCTTGTTAAGTGTCATATAAGCATGTAGATGATTTCTGTGGCTTCAGTTTATATTTTAGTATAGCTTTGATCAGTGGAATTTTACAATTTCTGAAGGTTAAAATTGAGCATCATCCCTTAGAGGGCAGTGAAAAGTTTCATCATTAAGTATGCGTAGACAGCAACAAGGAACTAGAAAAAAGAACAGGAATAAAGGATATTAAGTATGTATACCAAAGTCACCTCTCCCGATACCCGCCAGTATGAATAACTATTCTGTGTGGTTTCTGTGTCCATGTCAACTAAAAATAATAGCTTATGACCCCCAATGAATGGTTTAATTTTTCTGTAAGCAGCCAAAAGAAACAATTAAAAAAGCAAAGACATTTAATGAGGTAGCATAGTAAAATATTTGCTACAGGCCATTCTCCCCATGAACATAGGGAATACTCTCTTGTAAGTATTTGCAACATAACTGGGGAGAGTAAGCAAGCCTAGGGATCACACATGGGGGCCCTCTGGGACACAACCTAAGAGGAGGAGTTGGAGACTGACCTGAGAAGAGGTGCTGCATATACAGGCAGTATTCAAATGAAGAAATGGAAGTTAGCAACAATATGAAAGAATTTTCTCAATAATAAAATATTGAGAATATAAATTAAAGCAAAAATTTCATACCTGTCAGATTAGAAAAGATGACAAAATTTTGTAAAAGACACATTTTAAGAAGGATATTAATACTCTGCAGTGGTCTAGAGGAACCAGAATGGTGAATGACCTTGATATGAGACTTTGCTGAAGGAATTGAGTACATTTAAGCTGGAAAAAATAAGATTCAGGAGGAAGGTGGTAATTGTCTTCAGATATTAAAGGGCTTTCATGTGAAGAAGCAGTTAGATTTATCTTGTTTGTTTTAAGAGGGCCATGCCAGGAACAGTGGGTAGAAGTTACAAAGTATCTCAGCTTCCAAGATTAGAGCTGTGCTTAATAGAATGAAATGTCTTGAGAGGTGCAGGGATCCCTCTCCCATTGAGGTCTTAGAGGGGAATCCTGGAGGAACCACTTGTTGCATATGTTCATAGTAGAGATTTCCTATTGTGTATTTTTTTTTTTTGGACCAAATGGCCTCTGAGGTCCCTTTAAATTTAAAAAAAAATAGCTTTGTCAATCAGTTTCTCTTACTCTAATGCTAGAAGTTATGTTCTTTTATTTGTAATACTTTTCTGCAGTGTTTATTTTTTTTTAATAAACACTATTCTCTGACAGTTTTCATGTTTTCTTAACAGCTATTTTTTCTTGATTTTGAGAAATTTGAATTATTTTAAAATACTGCTTTTTATGGGGCTTTTTTTTTTTTGCCAGTTCCAAGGCTTCTTGAAAATTGGCTCTGAAAACTTGAAAAGTTAAATGTTTCTTAAATTGCCCATCTCTTGCCTTCATGTAACATACGAAGCTTTCCTAGTAGATAATTCTGTGTTCATGACCCATACTTAATTTTATATTTTTTTGTTCTTATTTCTCTGATCATCTGTGAATCTCACTGATGTTTCTTTGTTCATTAGTTCTGTTGTTCTTCTTAATTTTGGGTTGTTTACAGGCTGTTGGCATTTAAGTATATTGTATTTGGAGAGAACTAAATTTTGGACTCTTCATGGCAGTCCTTTGATATTTTTTCTTTCTGTTTTTCTATTTTTTGTTTTTGTCAATTCTAGAATGTTTTCTTGAGTGGTATGTTTAGATTCTGATGTTGCTTCATCTTGATTTACCTCTTAGGGCTGTCACTTGTTTTTGCGTGTTTATTAATTTTACTTGTTTTTTCAGCTAGTCCACAATGCTTGTAATTCTGTTTTCCTGCTATAGTTAGTCTGGTGTTGATTATTTTTGTTGTTTAAAAAAAAAGGATGTTTTTTATTATGTTTTCCATATTGGTCATTAAAATTTTTTTATGTTTTTAAAGCCTCTTTTAATATAATTTTATTACCTTTTAAAAAAAACTTTCTACAAGTTCTTATTTACTCTTTAGATTTTCTTATCACTGTGTTCTTGCTTACCTTCTTTAAATGTGTCACAGTTACAGCTGAGAAAATCTTTTGTCATAGTTTTCTTTTTTTCTATCTTCATTACTTCTGGCATTTTTACTTTTTTATTGGTTAAGTGGAATTAAAAAAAAATTAGGGTATTTTGCTTTACTTGCTTTCTATTTTGGTGGGGTTTTATGGCATTTCTACTTGTATGGGACAAGTGAAAGTTTCTCATATGAAATGGAAGCTATGCTCCAAAAATTTAGTTAAGGCTTTAGCATTAGCTGGGCCTAAGTTTCTTTTTCCTGTAAATCATATAATAGGTGCATATACCAGCTGCCCACCCCATCCCTTGTTTTGTAACCATCACCCCAGCCTTATCCTTACCAAATAAGGCAATCTTCCAGCTTCCAAGCTTGGTCTGGGTAAAACCTATCTCTTGGGTTCTAAATATAGATTGTAAGGTCTCTTGCCTCAACCAATGAGGATGAAGAGATTGAGGTAAATAAGTGGGGAGGGGGGTTTCTTGGAGTGGTTTGTCTAAGGGTATATAACTGATTTCTTGCTGTTGTATCTTGCCTCACTACTTCAGTCTGCCTGGGGTAGGTGATACCCAACTCCCTCGCGAGACTTGCGAGAATAAAACTTCTGTTTTCTACTGAGAGAAACCTCTGAATTTTTATTTGGGTAGGTGGTCTCAATCCCACTCATACTTTTTGTTTTCTGACTGTCTTTGAACCTTTCATTCCACCATCTTGACTGGAAAGCTGAGCCCATGCTGTTTAGGAGACGTTTGAGACTATTAGAGGGGAACTTACTGAGCATTCCTCTACTCCTCTGAATTTCTTGATATCGTCCCTGTTTCTCATACTTCCTTCATATCTGAGAGAAAGAAGTATGTCTACACTTATTTTGAGGATAAACATATGCCCTTGTTCACCACATACTGTCTCCTTTCCATTTGTCTTTGAATGTCATTAGGTCTCAAGTCTTTGTCTCCCAAACAACCCTTCTACTTCCTGTCCCATCCCTTGTCTCCTTTATAGTCATGCTTTTTTTTTTTGAAGGGGGGGAGAGAAGAGTTGTTGTCTGTTTGATGCCTTTAGTTTCTCATCAGTACTCTCTCTCTCTTGAAAATTGAGCCTTCATTACTACTGCTCTAATGTAAT